CAAAAAAAAAAAAAAATACCATCTCACACCAAAAAAAAAAACAATTATTAAAAAGTAAAAAAAAAAAAGATGCTGGCAAGGCAAAAAAAAAAAAGGAACACCTTTACAAAAAAAAAAAAAATGTAAATTAGTTCAAAAAAAAAAAAAGACAGTATGGTGAAAAAAAAAAAATCTAGAACCAGAAATAAAAAAAAAAACAGCAACCCCATTACAAAAAAAAAAACCAAAGGAATTAAATAAAAAAAAAAAAAAGCCAAATGCACAAAAAAAAAAAATGCAGCACTATTTACAAAAAAAAAAACATAGAACCAACCCAAAAAAAAAAAAAGGATAGAATAGATAAAAAAAAAAAAGTACATATACACCATAAAAAAAAAAACAGCCATAAAAAGGAAAAAAAAAAAATCCTTTGCAGGGACAAAAAAAAAAAAGAAAGCCGTCATCCTAAAAAAAAAAACACAGGAACAGACAAAAAAAAAAAAAATGTTGTCACTCATAAAAAAAAAAAAAACAATGAGAACACAAAAAAAAAAAAAGGGGAACAACACACAAAAAAAAAAATGGTGGTTGGGGGGTAAAAAAAAAAATCTTAGAGGACAGGTAAAAAAAAAAAGCAAACCACCATGGCAAAAAAAAAAATACGTAACAAACCTGAAAAAAAAAAACATTTATCTCAGAACAAAAAAAAAAATAAATTAAAAAAAGAAAAAAAAAAAAATCCGCCCCCATGATAAAAAAAAAAATCACCTCCACCAGGCAAAAAAAAAAAGGGGATTACAATTCAAAAAAAAAAAAGGGTGGGGACACAGAAAAAAAAAAAATCAGGAAGTATTCTGAAAAAAAAAAATCTTGCTTAAAGTAAAAAAAAAAAAAAGAGCTGATATGCAAAAAAAAAAAAAAAGGAATAAGGTACTAAAAAAAAAAAACAAAAGGCTGGGGTAAAAAAAAAAATCAAGGAAGAATTGCAAAAAAAAAAAATGGGGGAAAAAAAAAAAAAAAAAAATTTCCAGTTAGTTGTAAAAAAAAAAATGAATAAGTATTTCAAAAAAAAAAAATCATCTGTAACACAGAAAAAAAAAAAAGTGATTGGCCATAGAAAAAAAAAAACAATAGGTGTTCAATAAAAAAAAAAAACTGTGTGGGAGAAGAAAAAAAAAAATGAAGTAACTTGTCCAAAAAAAAAAATTGATCCACGCTCCCAAAAAAAAAAATATTAAAATCATTTTAAAAAAAAAAATACTGGCTAACTTCTAAAAAAAAAAAACTTTGGGAAGCTGAAAAAAAAAAAACACTTGAGCCCAGGAAAAAAAAAAAAGCCTGGCCAACATACAAAAAAAAAAACTCTACAAAAAATAAAAAAAAAAAAACAGGCATGGTGATGCAAAAAAAAAAATGCACTACTTGGGAAAAAAAAAAAAAAGGATTGCTTGAGCCAAAAAAAAAAAGGCTGCAGTGAGCCAAAAAAAAAAAATTGCATTCCAGCCTGAAAAAAAAAAAGTGAGACCTTGTCTCAAAAAAAAAAAAA